CGCTGGGCAGTGGCGGCGGGGGCGCGCCCGCTCCCCGCGCGCCCCCGCTGCCCGGCCGGCCAGCCCTCTCTGTTTTTGTTTTGATGGAGCCCGCGTGCAGCTGGCGCGTGTCGAGTCACGTGCCGTGGGCGGGAGGGGGCTGGGGCGCGGGAGGCGAGGGCGTGGTGACGCACGCGTCTGGAGGGCCGGCAGCCCGCGGGGGGCCGTCACCAAAGGGGCGAGGGGGCGTGTGCCCCAGACAGATCCGGACCGCGTCGAGTGTCAAGGCCGCATCTGGTGGAGTTTGTGGGAGTTGATCCTCGGTGAGCAGTATGCGGACGTGGGTGTAAATCCCACCGCCCTTTAAGTTCGTCGTCACAGCATCTAGGCGATCCTGGTCCGTTCGGGCTGGGGGGCGGGCCTGCGCTGATTCAGTTAGAAATCGAACAGTGTGTCGGTGTGTGTATCGGTGGGCATATAGAGACCTCTATGTGGTTCTCAGTCCAGGCTGCACGTTATAAGCAACTGGAGCGCTTTAGAAAGAACTCCGATTCCCGGCCCAATCGAAACTAAATCCAAATAGGTCCTAAACATAGTGTATTGAAAAAAAAAAATCTCCCTAAGCATTTTTGATGCACGGTGAGGGATGAGAACTTATAGAGGTAACTAGCTTGCTGGATGGAATAGATAGCTGCGAAACCATCCGTCTTTAGGGATATAGCTAACGTATTGATCTGTCACTAGATAGGCTAACTGTGCCGATGTGTGGGGACATACTTGATGAAATATTGTAACCTCTGTTTTACAGTTGGCGAAATGGAAGCTCAGGAGGTTAAGTAAGAGTTGGTCAGTGACAACCCATAACTAGTACCCAGGGAGGCTGACTCCAGAACCCATTCTTTCAATCATTATATATGCTGCACTGGAAATCTCCTTTTACCTAAGGGCCACGTGTTCGTGCGAATAGGAATATTTTGTGTTTGCCTAAGGACCAGCCAGTTTATCTACATATATTTATATATGTATTTTTATCTGCAAAGTCTTGCTTGTACCAAAGGGAGGAGAATCGCTTGGTAAATTCGTTAAGGCCTCTAGGCTGCTAACATTTTCTAGAAGTTTATTGTGAAGAGAGGAGAGAGGATCCCAGTAATTTGAAGAGAACTGATTCTGTGGAAGTTTTTGGTTTTGTTTTGAGACTTGAACATACGTGTAAAGTGAAGGGGAGTGTCCAGAAGATGCAGATAATTTCCAAGGATTTACATGAGCAGCCACAGAAGTCCTTTAGGTTGCTGGACATGATATAATTTTGTTGGTCATAGGCTGGTTGTAGCAGAAAGTGCAAGGCAGTATACAGAGTAGCAGAAGTTTTGCTATGAAAATTTGGGAGGAAAAAGCAACTACTCTGGTCTGGGGTACAGAGAAGTGTTGCTTCTCCATCCTCCTTCTTTTATTTATTTCATTTGCTTCTCTGTCAGATAAACTCTTATTGGGAATATTTAGATGCGGGGGTAATCCATCTGTTTTGAAAATGTGTTCATTGATATATACTCTAAGGATATTCCAAATAAAACAGGCAACAGAGGTTTTCCCCTGAAAACAAAGAGTTCCAATTGCAATGTTTTTGTGACCGATACGTATTATTAAATGGTACTGTGTAACAAAGAGACATGTCTTTATTCCTACTAATGATTGCTGTCTAATATTGTTAGCTGTATGGCAGACATAGGCAAATTACCTATCAAGTTTTTGAGATTGGTTTTCATGTTACTTGCAGTTTTGGTGAGGAAAGCTTATAGACTCACCAGGGCAAGCTTGACATAACTGCGAGTGGTCACGTTCTGGCATGGAAATAGCTCTCTAACCCCATCTCCCTCCCTCAGTTGTCGTCTCCATCCCTGTTGACCACCAAAGATACTTTAATCCAGCATTGCCAAACCACTTGTGGTTCCTTTGCACAGCTTTGTCTTCTGCTCCTAGGGTGCCTCCTTTAGAAATTATCCCCTGATTTCTCCTCGAAAGACATTTAAAAATATCCTCCTGTGTCACCTTTATGCCTTGCACGTACTTGTCTCAGTGCACTTTTCACAACATATATTGTTTTTATTTATACGTTGGACACCTCTACTAAATTGACTTCATAAAAGGTTGAAATGGTGATTGTTTATTTGTGTATCACTGGCACACAGTAGGCACTCAAGTTTGTTGCATCAGTCTGATTTGAATTTGAGTTGCATTATTTGGCTTGATCACCCATCTTCATTCTTGACTGTCCTCACGTCTGTTAGCTACTAGGCTAAAAGCACACGTCCTTGCACAGAGAATTCAGAGTACCACCAACACATTCTAGTAAAAGGAATAGGAAGGAAGGGGCTAAATGTAATCAGGTTTTCACTTGTTTCCCAATTTTATTCTCAATTCGCCAATTGTTTACTCATGTACACTAGGAAGAAAGAAGTGGCACTATATTACCGATGAACATGCTTTTTATGTGTAGTAGCAGAATATGGATGCATCATCACATTTTATTACACTGTAATTTTCAGATTTAGTATTGCAGAGGTATTTGTAGAACAGCACTGTCCCACAGAGCTTCTGGGATGATAGAAAGGACTTACAATGATATATTTATAATGACTTATAAGTGGTAGCCACTAAGCATTTGAGGCTAGTGAGCCACTTTAAATGTGGCTAGTGTGCCATAGGAACTGAACTTCTCGTTGATTTAAATGCAAATAGCCACAAGTGGCGGGTGGCTACTGCATTGGACAGCACAGTTATAGAGGATTTGCTTAGCTTTAAGTCTAGTGTTTGATAGGTAAACATTAGCTTACAGTGTTCTGCCTTTAAAAGAAAAATTTTAATTCG